TATTACTAATATTGAATCATATAACCCCGTCTTTTACTTTCCTTTTATATTTTAAATATATAAGAAATAGCCTGATCATCTATTTACCATGAAATTTATTATATATAAAGATAAAGTGTTCCGTTTTTATGATTAGAAAACATTTTTATCTTCCTCAGTATTTGCTTATATTATTAATATGTTATGTATTCATATATCAAAATAATGATCTTACCTTTCCCTATTCGACAAGTTCTGTTTTAATTTTCTGTGACTCAACTCAACAAGTACATTACCTAATGAAACCCCACGAAAATCACGAGAATATTCAAATAACACCTGATTTGTGAACGAATGAATTACAGGAGCGTAGCGGATGGTATCTTTGCTTGGCTTTGGAATGCTTTCTTAAACATGATAAAGCACATAAATAATATGTTACTTGTGAGTAATATATTAATAAATACTGAGTAAAAAAAACTGATGTATGGATAGAAAAACAAAAGAGCATGTAGGTAAGATAGTTACCGCACTCGGAATAGGTCTGCCTAGAATTTACAGACCCGGTTGCCTTTTAAAAACCTCGATCGCTACGCTCTCTCGGTCTTCAAATCGCCACCCGGGTCTGTAAATACTATGCAGAACTATTCCTCGTACGGTAACTATTACTTCCTGGAGAGTTACACAAGTACTAGACTAATTTCTCTGTGCTAAACTACCAATGCATCTGCCGGGGATCGAACCCACGCCAGAGAGGTAACTGGATTAGAAGTCATCGACTCTAACCCCTCGACCACGGAGGCGATAGGTTCCAATATATACAATATCGTTCATAACTAGAAATTCTGTTTATACCATAACGTCCGGTTTGTATCAGTTATGTATGTGAAGACATACGTATTCTACATATATAAGTTCTAAGCTTTCCTGGTATAAGATCTAAATATTGTTCATAACAAAACCCACTCTTTAAATTATTATACAAATTCAAAACTGAGCTACCATTAATGTCAGAATGCCAGTTTTGTAAAAAGTTATCTATTACACATCGCTTAAATTCGTAAATAAAACATTTATAACATACACAACCTTGATTTTTCCATACATCCATAAAGCCATAAGTGTATACGACATATCTTTGACATTAGATAACCAATTACGTTTACCACTTGTACAATCATTATAAGACATGTGATATATTTCTTTCAAAATAATATTATCAGCATTGTTGAAATATTTAAAGTATTATACAGAATAATAAACTAATGAAAATGCTTTTAAATATCATTTCACCTTAAATTTATAAAAACTGTCGTGAGTGTAACGTTAGCCTATTTTCTTTCTATTATCTACACTCACTAATAAAATTGTATTATATAACAAACACTGCATGTTTTACTTCTAAATTATTTACTAAATTCGTCCAACATTTAGAATGTAAAGCAATCCTTTAAAGTCGAACGTAAAACATTAAGCAAACATTGATAATGAGTAAATCCAACGCAATCGTAAACTCTTTTGATATATTTTCCTCAGGTCAGTTCGAAAGTTTGGATTGAGTAGAGAGGATAAAACAAGAAAAGTTGATACTTTTGCCTTCGCACTAGTGATAATGTTTTTATATAAAGAGTACCATAACCTTGTCAAGTTCATTAACAATGGGAATTTAAACTACAAGGACATAAATTAACAATCGTTAAGACAGATGCACAGGGGACTAATAAAACTGGCGGGAACATTTTACAGTAGGACGGGGAAAGTAAGGGATCGGCACTTCCAAAACTTTTTTGTTACTGTCCAACTAAATCGAACAAAAATACATTTGTACTTTAGAACTATTGACTTGTGATTAAATGTGTCTCTCAGTAGTTAGCTAGAAGCATAAAAAATGGAAATTTGTTATTTATCCTGTCTAGCAGTTGATCTTCCTGATATCTTTGCTGATTTAGAATTTGTACTTAGATATGTAGATATCTAATTGTTGAAGTTTAAGTTTTTTTTCCAGACTTGCCTAAAATCTCAACGTTTGAGTATACAGTACTATTTATATCAATGAAATCAATTAATTTCTAAGTAAATTGCCATACTTTGAATTGTAAAATCATGTTAGCTCTTGAATACTAGTAAATCAGAGAAGGAATAGAAAACTAATTTTCTGTTTTCTTTCTGTGAATACATGTATTGAAGTTGATAGATTAGCCACTTGATTTAAAAGGATGCACTCTTCGAAGAAGTATGTGCATATATCGCTCTATACATCGTATGCACAACCACAAACAGTCTATTTAAAAACGCATCGTTCACAGTCCATTTAATTGTTGAGACCAGTTGATCTTACAGAACCAAATCATTATAGAATAATATGGCCGGTAATCCTCAGATTTGGGTTGAATATTGGTCATGACTAATAGATTACCCCTACACACATTGAGGTCTATTAGTGAAGGGTCACCGTACAGAAAGCTTGTCTGACCGATTATCAGCTAGAGAACGGACATACCCATAATCGTATAACTGTGTGTATCATCAGCAACAGTAGCTTTTTGTTGATTTTTTTTTTCATGCAGAAAGATTTTTATGCGGCCTAACCTTTGACGATAACAAGAACAATAATGGAAAATCCACTAAAGACTACTAATTTATACTTTCATCTACATTCCTAGCAATTGGTTGAAGTGGATCATTCGTTCTGATGTACGTTGGTCAAAGTTAATATGACTATAACTGCTTAGAGTCTGTCCTACCAACAACTAGTGACCGTTTTGGCAAACAGGCCATTAAGGAAGTGTTTCCATAATGGGCACTATTTTGAAGTGAAATATTACAAACTTAGTTGTGTTGCATTCCTAAGGATACCAATATTATGCATATACAAAATTTGAAGGAAAAATAAAACAGATTAGTTTGGACTTAACAAAAATGAGCTCTTTTTCAGGAATGGGGAAATTCTTCCTAATTTCTTCCTAATTAGATTATCATGCTCATAAATTTCAAGCATTTTTTCCTGTTAACTATGGCTAAGAAACAAATTATAACATACAGCAAACACATCATACAAGGCAAATCATTATTTCCATTGAAAATATTTGAAATATTCTACTAAAAATGTTTGAAACATACAAACTATTGCATGGGACAATCCACAACGAAATCGAACGAATGTGTAAGCAAAGGCGGACTCCGGAATTTTGGCATGCTTCTCCTTAAAAGTTTATATATGTGCACAAGAGATCGCTGAACAGCCTTGAGCCTATGTCACTCCGGTGTCATTTGATATTTTCTTGGCAAACAAGAGCCACCAAGCTAATGCACTTGCCAACCTGCAATAAGATATGACTATGATTATGTAACGCATGCCTCCGGAAAATGATGCGTTTTTTAAAATGTCATACAGAGATTACAAACTGCCGCACCGATTAATGCGAATGTCATGCGAGCATCTCACGGCAATATGTCTTAGACAAAAAATAACAAGAAAGAAAACTATTGCACTAGCTAATCTTTGTTGCCTTTATTGTCGCAAAGGGAAACGGACATCCAAGCTATTGAATGGTCATTCTGTAAAGGAACTTGAAACAAAATAATTTATTTCGTACTCATTTTTTTCGTTTTTGTTGTTTTTTTTATTATTGAAATTTCGATTTTTTGACGAAGAAGGGCATAAATGTCGTGTTAAAAAGACAAATTATGACGTGACAAAAGTGACGTAAATTCTGAACAGACGACTGACGGTCTGAGGTAAGGCATCATACTTTGAATACTGTCAAACAATTCTAGAAAATATTATCATAAAGGTAATTCATATAGATCTACGTGTATATGGTTTTCATACATGATATCTATTTCCCATAATATAATATTTTATCAATATCACCGTGCATATCCAGCAACGCAGGAATGTGCAATTATCGTAAAAGTAGAGCCGAATCTGTGCAACACTATTGCCAAAACGAATACACAGTAAACGAACCAATATATTTTATTCTAAAGAAACGAATTAGCACATACGGCTGCTACTACATTATACGTTAAGTAGCATTTCATTTTTTTCAGGAATTTGTTTTTCTTTCTTAGATCATTCGGGAGAAAGACAACCTGATTACCTTTTTGAAGGTGTCTTTCGTGTTTCGTCAAATAAATATGTACATTTAACATATTCAAAACTTTATTTTTTCATATTCTGTATATCCAAGACATTTGTCAAACTACAACTGTCGAGAAAGCTGGTCAAATAAGATTTAGCTGCTTTTAATGAGATAACCGCCGTTGCTTCACTGATTCATTCCCGATCTCGGTGTTACCTGGTAAAAATGGTCTCAATTACGGTTTATCAGCTAGATTAAGTGTAATATGACACGAGTAGAATGGAAAATATCTCAGGTACACGGAATATAAAAAAAAATCATAAATAAATATGTACGTTATTGTATTTAAAGATATCAACGAAACTAAAAATCGCCATCAATACGCTAGTCAGGTCGTCAATTTCACGAATGATCTTGAAAAATAAACATTATCATGGAAATATTTTTGATGAGGTTTAAAGTATAATGTCTCAGCAACCGTATGCGCTAACTCATTTCTTCCAATTTGGTGCACAATAAAAAGTGTTGGTCAATATACTTATCGCGGTGCTAGTTTTAGCCACTAAATTGCACAATGCACAATTCCTGCGTTATTTGCACATTCCTGCACGGTGAATATAGTTAGTCTACATAAACAGTATTGTGTGTTGAACATTTATTACGAATCATTTTTAAATGAAATTTAAAGTTTTGTATTATGAAACATATCAGATAAACAAAACTTACACACTGTCTTTAAGTACATTTGTATATATTAGTGTTCATCCGTGCTGTTCTATTAGAAACTTCGACCGGAGCGATAGCGACCGGAGAATGTTTCTAATTTCTGGATGAATACTAACATATTTACACAGGTACTTGAAACACACTATTTTTAATGTTCTATGTAGTCTTATTATAGTATTTGAAATATACAATTTAAAAAAATAAATTTGAAAAAAATCTATGTTCCCAGAAAATCAAGGGTTCCCACGTTGTCCAAATTCAAGATGGCCGCCAAGATGGCCGCCAAAAATTAAAGAAAATACCATTTTTGCTTAAAATACAAATACAACACTCTTTTTTCACCGTTTGAATTCATTTTTTTATCAAAATGATCGGAACCGCGTAGAATTTCGGATATATAAGCAAAGTTTCACTATAAAAAGCGTAACTTTTTGAAAAATGCCTTAAAATATGCCAAAAAGGGGGTAAAAACGTGTCTTTTTTGGCATCTGGCTGCTTCCAATTCGGCTCAGAAACTTATTTTACCTCTTATACTATATTTTTTCACATTTATTTACAGATATATGTTGACCAAGTACAAAGAAAAACATAAAGTTCAGATATGAAAGGAAATATGAATTTAAGGGACTCTCAATATAAGTCGGGTAATTACCTGAAAATACCCGAAAATTACCTGAATAATACATGATGTATATATAATAATTTATTTCTATATATATAAGAGTTTTATTATAAATACAAAACATGTATGTTGTCATTGTATTTCTCTTTTAGTATTGTCTCGATATAAAAGTAAGTCAAAGCCATTTTTATAGATGGAAGGTAGATTCACAAATTACGCAGTTACTCCCCTTTGATATAATTAAGCCATGAAATCATCTGAAAGTTTCCAATGTCATTGAAGAACACACGAAGTTTACCGACGAATTTGCACAGATTTTTAGAGTAGATTGTACCAGAAGGTATGAAACATTAAAAGCCCAGTATTTAATCTTTAATTCTCAAAGAATTTCTTATAATTTATTAATATAAAATGTCAGATTTTAATGTAGAAAGAAATGCACCAGAACTTCACATAAACAAAAGCTTTTGAGCGGTTGAAATGCTGCAAATTTGTAAAAATATTTGAGTATTAATGTTTATAGCTATGATGTATTATAAATAATCATTTTTGTAAAAATATGGACATTCTCTAAGAGGATCCCTGTTTAATTTTCTTAAAAAACTTGAGTAGTAGTCGGATGCATACAATATCCGGATAATTTGTTTTTTGCCCTCTTTAACAATCTGAAGGGGTTTGAAGACATATCATGTCAAGGTTTACATGTTTTTTTTTGTTTTCAGGCAATGATTGAGGATAGCTATTCATACTGATAATTAATCTGACAAGTGGCTGTAGAGTCCCAATGCACCACCATGTTGACATGGTACGTGCCATAAATGCATTATAATTTATTCTCATCTGTTTAGAAGGTATGTTGTGTACCTTGTTATTTTTATTAAATTAGATTACCCCTAAACATTGATAATTATTATTAACAAGTATAAAATAATTGCATTTACAACATAGAAGTTATTTGAATATAACATATATAATCATTTATATTTATCAATGCATGTACATGTAGGTAATGATAAAACTATTTATGTGGGACATTTCATATTCTTTATATATTTTAATGTAACAGTATTTTAAATTGAATTTATACAAATATTTACTGTATAAAATATATTTGACATACTTGAAAACCATTCTGTCAGAATTACTTTATTTCAGACACTTCATTTGGCTTAGTCAGAATGGGACCTTAAATGAAGATGCATTATTGTACCGTATATGAAACAACACAAGAATGATCCAGAAGGTCAGTGTGTTTTTCAAATGTGTAATGTCAATAACTTTTTCTGTAACTGTACAAATATAAATATTGTAGGTTTCTTTTCCTGAGGTGTTAGTATTAGACTTATATAAAAGAATAAAAGATAATTTACATATTATTGCTATTTTATACCAAAATAAAACCCTAAATTCCTATTTTTTTTTTGCTTTTAGAAGTAAAACTACTCTGCACATACTCCACTACTGAGCCCTGCCTTACAGGCCTTGTTCCCAAGCTAATGCCAGCTGAGCTGTGGATACACCAGTAAGTTTGAACATAAAATGTGTAATTCAACCATTGGAAGTGTGGGTTGGTTGATGTTGTCTCGCTCTCAGACAGTTTTAATAATTTATTAGAAATGTGAAAAATGTGCATTGAAATAAAATTCTTTATGCATTAAATCTGTAGAAATAATTGTTTTACCACGAAAAAGGTGCAATTTAAGTCCACAATGCTAATTACTATACTTAACAGTGTCACAAAAACTAATTTAACTTTGTATTAAATGTATTCAATGATTAAAATACGTTTATTTTGGATTTTAATTTTGAATTTCCTAAGTAAAAAATAATTTTTGTTTTTTAGATATGTGGAATGCCTCCATCATCAATGACGTGTAGTGTTAAATATTAAACAAATGAGAAAATGTCCAATAGTAAAAAACGGAAGTACGACGAGCAGCTGAATATACCCACAGACTTTAGGTGCATTATTCACAACAGTGGACTTAGCAATCATGGTGACTGTGTAACACTAAATTCTACAAAATTAAAAGTCTCTGCTGAACAAAAACTAGATCAGCTGCACTCAATTCGCAACAAGCGATTAGCTGAACCATGTGACTCACCACATCGCATGCATGACATATGCAAGAGCATTCCTGCCTCATTATGTGGAATAGACCTGAACATCACTGGTTACCACCGTGGGTGCTACCAGGCCTTTACCAAAAACCTAGATAGGTTAAGTAAAGCAGAATGTACAAAACATTCTCAAAAACACCATTCACCAAGAATTTTTGCTAACTGTAGTAATCAGTTTCCACCAGAATGCATCTTCTGTAAAAAGTTGGAAGTGAAACCAAAGAAACATGAAATACAGAGCGGTGTGTTCAATTCACAAACACAACATGGCAACAAATTGAGTCGCAGGCTTTTGAGGTGGGCGATTTTGCCTTATATCGAATAGTACAAGGTGAAGACCTGGTGGCCAGAGAGGCAATGTTTCATACTTCATGTCGGAAGGATTTTGAATTGAAAGTGTTTAACCTTTCTAAGCGCCAAAGGCTACAAACAAAGAGCACTTATACAGGTACTTTTCCTTATAAGTGGCTGTATTTTTTATGTTTTTCAAAATATTACTTACAATGATTAACCTAATAATACATATATTTAATAACAATATATTTTATTAAAACAGTTTGGCTTCTGGAGCTCCAGTTCCCCCTGATGCTGAGCAAGATGTTGTTCGGGCAGAGGTGATGGGAAAGGAAGCCAAGCAAAGATTCATAGCCGAAAGACTTACACACGGAGCATCGCCTATCAAGTTCTTTGACCCGATACCGAAGTCAAAATTAAAGTCAATGGAAGCTTCGAACAAGACAGTGAAACTTACTGCTCCCCAGGGAAAAGTAATAACTACGTCTTTCAAAATTTCTTTTGTGTCTCGTATTAAATTATTAAATTTTAAAATGTAAGTGTCGAATTACGCTGAACCATGAGCTAGGCGGAGAAGGATTGACAGCTGTCAGCCTCTTAAACCAGAACAATCAAAGCGTTCTGGTGACATTTTCATATATCTGTTGGGTGTCATTGTTTAGATTGTTTTGCTACATTATTTGTTGCTACATAAAGTTGACTTGTTTTACTTGTTTTATTTTAGATTTAATTATTTGTAATATATCCATTACAGGTGATTCAGTATCAAGAACAGAGCAACATAGCATTTATGCTTTTGGTAAAAGCTCAATCGTTGAACGAACAGTTGGACCTTGAAGAACTGATGCGGTTTCCTTTGACTCCCGTACCTCATAGCCTTGGTACACCTGATGGGTTCTTTTGCAAGAGCAACAAGGCGGCTTTAATGAATGCCATATTGCAGGATGTGCCACAAGCGACAACTCCTTCAGAATCCACCATTTACATCCAAGATGGTAATGCTCTCTTTCATGAGCTTACAAACCTTGCACCAACGTTTGGCGGAATATGTCTGCAGATTCTGGACATCATGGTTGCAAGGAAGAACTTTATTTTTTCGACGGACAGCTACTTCCCGAACTCTATAAAGGCACAGGAGAGAGTGCGCAGAGGCTGCAGTCGAAAATTCATCGTTGATGGACCTGCAACCCGTAGACCAGCGGACTTTAAAGAATTCCTATCCAACGATGACAATAAGACACAATTATGCAATCTTATTCTGCGTGTTTGGGGCAGTGAGTCAGCAGCATCCAGACTAGATCGATGTGGAACAGCAGTGGTGGTCGTTGGTGGAAGGGCTTACCAGTTAAAAAAGACAAATGGTGATGTAAGTTACAATAATGTTAAGCTTTATACCACAGTCTACATAAATTGTAATGTTACCTACTAATATTTTAGTTATTGTATACAAAAAATATTTTATCCAGGCAAAAATCTAGTGGTCGTTTTGTTTTCGTTTGCTTCAGGTGAGAACGGAGGAGATCTTCAGTTTAGTGTCCAACCAAGAAGAGACAGATACCAGAGTAGTTTTGTACATGCACTACGCATCAACGATTGGCTACCAGTCAGCTATTGTGCGTACACCCGACTCTGACTTATTCTTCATTACCTTGTTCCATGCACAGTCTGTACCACTGACAGTTTATCTCGACGTTGGTACAGGAAAACAGAGACAGGTAAAAATATATACCATGCATTAAACGTATCTTTAATTTCTAGTTACTGAATTTCATTAATGTACCAAGTAATTATTCCAACAGTATATACTTTTTTTAATCTAACAGAATGTATATATAATATACCAAGAATTAAAACTTAAAATAAATTAAATTTCAATACATATTTAACTTTTGAATGCATAAACTACTTTGTCATCTTAGGTGGTGAATATTAGTGAGCTGGCAGACTCACAAGGTGCTGAATACAGTGAGACTCTACTAGGACTGCATGTGTTCACCGGTGAAGATGTCACAAGTGCATTTAAGGGCAAGGGAAAGGTCACACCGCTCAGAAAGCTGCAGAGTAATCCTAAATACCACAAAACATTCAGGTAAAATGTTTGTAACTGATTAAAAAAATGAATTGTCTGAAACAGTAACACATTTCTAACAAATTATGACAGTAAATAAAAGTATAATAGTCATTATTTTTAACTGATATGTCTGTAGGATGCTGGGTGATACTTGGACAGTTGAAGAAGATGTTATGCAGATGTTAGAAGCGTTTGTCTGTGTGATGTATGGGTGTCCAAGGGAGAGGTCTGTGAACACATGTAGGGCAGTTCTTTTGAAGAAAAATGGTAGGAGACGACGAACAGCTGACCATGAAGTCAAAGGTGGAATTATCCAAACTGCCACCTTGCCAGGATAATTTATGCCAACACATCAGAAGAGTCAACCATCGTCTCGGCATCTTGAAAAATGCTCATACACCAGTGATAGAACATCCGGAACCACATGATGAAGGGCAAGGGTGGACCAAAAAGAACGAAGTGTTAGAACCATTGTGGGCTGAGGGTCCCATTCTTCCACCAACGTTAGTTGACCTAGTCGAAAATGTTCAAGCAGAGATGGAAGAAGAAGATGATGATGGTTGTCTAGAAATTTCAGTGTCAGATGATGATGAGTGACATTCAGTAACCGTAAACTTTTGTGGGAGATTAGTTATGTAGTGAGATGATTGGTGATAGTTATACTTCCAATTGAGTTGATTGTGTTTTTATAAATCTGTGGATTTGTATTTATTGTCTGTCTTTTCAGACGAATGAATATAGCTGTCATAATCAGAATGTATGGCACGTTAATGAATTCTTTGTTTCTACTCAGTGTATTTGTAAGATATTGTGTTATGCTGAGTCAACATCTTACTGATATTAATTACTATAGTTATAATCCGAACGTTTCAGAAATAGATTTTGATCCCCATGAATGTAATTATATAATGCAACTGAGGGTATTTTCTATTATTTTTTTTACAATGTGTCAACATTACATTTAATTATTAAAAAGTTCACGTAAATTGATAAGTTCCTAAATCCTCACAAAACGAAATGAGGAAAATGTAGTTTGTATAATATCCCTCGCACTATTAATACTAAAGTATACAAACATGTTAACTAATGGTCAAAAGCATCATTGTGAATTGTTCGAGAATAACTGTGTATCTATGTATTTATTTCATTGGTGATTATTGCCCCACCCACTTTTAGAGATGGGCATTGTGAACAGTTAAATGTGACATATTCTGTTGTTTAAGAATGTCTTAAGAATGTCTTTTCTTCATTTTATTGTTGTATGTTCACATTGGACGATATATGGAAGGAAGAACATTTTGAGAGTTATGGTAAATTAAGAAATAAGATGTTCCCGCGATTAAGAGACATTTACCATAAAAATGTGTTTTTGCCAATTTTGCTGCAAAACGTTAACCTTAAGTTTTAAAAAAAAATTGTTACTTCTAATAAATTACTGAGAAAATATGGAAATGTCACAAGAAAGATAAATAATGTTTTGGAATTGACAGAGAAGACTTCCATAACTTGTATATATAATTATGCAGGTTTTGACTTTTTTTCAATGTAATTGTATGTAATTACCCCACCCACTTTTTATGCTGCACTTTGTTAAATCTGACATCTGTACTTTTAAAAATATTTATATCTTTGTATGCTATTGTATTTTGATGATTAAAGATAAACTCAACAATTTAATGAGCATTTATGCAATTTTAAGGTAAGATTGAGATGGGCTTTTCATTAAAAAATGAAATTTTCGGCCATTTTTAAGGCAAAAAGTTCACCTTAATGTGTGAAAAAATAAGTTTGCACCCTTTAATTACTAAAAAATAGATTAGGAAATCTCAAGAATGATTAAAACCATGCATAGAAATTGCTGTAGAAGACCTATATACTTTTTGATGTATTTTAAGTACATGGCGTATTTTTCACAAAATGGATGGCACTTACCCCACCCACTTAAATAGTCCCTTAAACTAAAATTTAACTTTTTATCTAGACTTAAATATTTTTTTTCAAATTCTTTATCATGTATCTGTAAAAAAATGTGAAAAAAAATTGTATAAGAGGTTAAATAATTTTCTGAGCCGAATTGGAACCAGCCAAATGCAAAAAAAAACACGTTTTTTTACCCTTTTTAAGCATATTTTAAGGCAATTTTCAAAAAGTTATGCTTTTTAAAGTAAAAAAAATGCTTATATATCAGGAATTCTATGTAATTCCGATCATCTTGATGAATAAATGAATTTAAAATGTGAAAATGAAGTGTTGTATTTGTATTTTAAGTAAAAATGGTATTTTCTTAAATTTTTGGCGGCCATCTTGGCGGCCATCTTGAATTTGGACAACGTGGGAACCCTTGATTTTCTGGGAACATAGATTTTTTTCAAATTTAGACATTCAAAAACAAAATGAGCCTGGTTTAAAAAAACCTTCCTGACATGCATCGTAGGCCTTCGTTCCTACTAAGCTATAGTTGCACCCGCTCTAAATAAATATCATGTATACACCATATAATAATAATAATAATGATAATAATAATAACAATAACACCAATAATAATGATAATAACAATAACAACAATAATAATAATATAAATAATAATAATAATATAAATAATAATAATAATATAAATAATAATAATCCGTTTTCTCCTGTGTCCAGTTTATTTTGAAATATGTCCAATCATAAAGAATCAGCTAAACTGTTTCGGATCTTCGTACAGGTACCATGCAGTAAGTGTCTTATATGATAGTCATTTCTCTACATTATAGCCATCGCCATCAATGCGGGTGAAATTAATTTGTATATAAAATATGAACGTACACATGTCACATTTTAATACATGTAATTTATGGCTAAGTGACTTTGTTTGAAATATTGTGGGACTATCCACGATAACTATACCAACCATCAGAAGAGCACATTTGTGTTATTTTCCTTTTTAATTTCGTTTATTAATCTTCAATAAAATACGTTAAATAAATTTAAACGAAATAAAAAGAATTACTATTTCTTTTGATATTTCATTCACCTTTAGTATGCCCTGACAAAATTGAACAATTCATTTTTATTAAACGTGGTAGATTGATGAAGAAGAAGATTAAATCTTTCAACAATTAGCAAAATACACAATTAGCAATACCTTTATAGTCATAGTCGCATTGTCACCTTCATCATCACCTTTGTCGGGATGCTTGTCTGACGAGCTATTATTTTGATCCAAATATCCTGGAAATTTGTCTGAAAGTTTGTTTTGATGATTTCTAGGTCAAGTATGAATATGGGTCACCTTGGGTCAAAACTAGGTCAATAGGTCACACCGCCCAAATATGGAAAACATTGTTTACATTCTAATGGTCACATATTTTTGACTCAAATATTGAAAAACATTGTTTACATTCTAATGGTCACATATTTTTGACTCAAATATGGAAAAACATTGTTTACATTCTAATGGTCACATATTTTTGACTCAAATATGGAAAAACATTGTTTACATTCTAATGGTCACATATTTTTGACTCAAATATGGAAAAACATTGTTTACATTCTAATGGTCACATATTTTTGACTCAAATATGGAAAAACATTGTTTACATTCTAATGGTCACATATTTTTGACTCAACAGTTTACTGCCATCAGACTTGGTCAGGATACTTTTCTAGTTTATTGCTCAGAGGAGTTCGAACATTTGTCATCTTGGGTGAAAAACTCGGTCACAGGAGCTAAAAAAATGAAAAATCTTGTTAACTCTTTAGTGGATACTGTTGTTATCCAAATATCCTGGAAATTGGTCTGTAAGTGTTTTTCTTTTAATCATTTCTAGGTCAAGTTAGAATATGGGTCACCTGAGGTCAAAAATTAAAGGAAATGTAAACTGCCAAAATATGGAAACACATTGTGAACATTTTAGAGTTTACAGTTTTGACTCAATTGTCATCAAACTTGGTATGCTTGTCTAAGTCATTGCTCGATGTTTGAAGGGTCAGGTGAGCGATCTAGGGCCATTTTGGCTCTCTTGTTTCATAATACCTCATAAACAGACTCAGAAAAACCGCGTCTACAATTTTCATGTAATAATATTGTTTTAATGCATCCGAGGGATGCACATGCGTATGTATATGTATGTGTATATGTATGGTTACATAAATGCTAGATTTCTAAAATTACTCAATGACTCTTCTGTCGGATAACAATATAGTGTCAAGTTGTAACATTCATACATCTATTCACTCCAGAAAAATATGGGGCGTCCGTGGCCAAGTCAAACTACTTGCCCCTCACTGCTGTGGGTTCGAATCCCGACAGGGTTCTTTGGATTCTTTCGTATGAGGAAACTATCCAGATAACTTACGTTGGTGGTTATACTCAGGTGCCCGTTCGTACCTGAAATAATGCACGGAAGGCCACCTGAGGTTTTCCTCCACCAGTAAAAGTGGAACGTCGACATATGACCTATACTGTGTCGGTGTGACGTAAAACCCAAACAAACAAACCGAATAATAGTGTTAAATTTTCTGTTTAGTGAACATTTTATTTCGAGCAGTTAAAGAATATTTCTCTTATGTCTATATGTTGATCTTGTGTTTCGTTTCGACAAGATCAGGATATTTATAATTCACAAGTAATTACCTAAGACAACATATGTTTTATGTTTCGTTTTCACAAGGTCGAGAAATGTAGCTGTCTCTAAAAAGTGCGAATCTAATGAATGCTTTATTCCTTGTAGTTTTGATGTGAAATCAAAATATGATATACTGATTTAATAACATTATACAATATATATGTACACATTTGGTTCAATGTCTTTTGTATTACCAATCACCTATGAATCCCGCCTCAAGTATATTACCTATGATTTCAATTTATCACATATGAGTTCTATCTCAATTTATCAAATATTAGTTTTACCTCAACTTATCATATATGATTTCTATTTCAACATATCATATATGAGTTCTACCTCAATTTATCACATATGAGTTCTACCTCGATTTTTCACATATGAGTTCTACCTCGATTTTTCACATATGAGTTCTACCTCACTTTATCACATATGCATTAAAGTATTACATATGAATCCTACCTTCATAAGCCAGCTGAATTGATTTTTCTGAAAGGTGTGTTTCGGTAGGAAAACTAATTTAGAAACTAACACTACTTTGGTTTCTTAAGAAAATTGAAATATTTGATTTCATAAGTCTCAAAAGTAATTTGTCACTTAGATATTTGCATTTAAAAACTTTATGCCAGCAGACGACCAGCAGAAAATTTTCAATGAAAAGGGGAGTAATTGCCTTTGAAGTCACATTACAAAAAAAGAATTGGTTGGCTACCTTTATATGACAAGATCACTTTATATGAGTCTGGCATTTCATTCTCATGGAAGAATTACCTCTTTAGCATCAACACTAAATTTTAAGGTAGGTTTAGGGATTATTGTCCCCCGCATTTTCGAAGAAAAAAGGGGATATAGAAATAGGCTCCGTCCGTCCGCACTCACAGGACAGTAATTATGTGGCTAGAGGGACAATAGGTAACTGTTCTTTCTTATTATAGAAAATAACAAAAGAAATAGCCCCTTATTCCATTTCGGCCGGATGTCCATCCG